AATTAATATCATAAAATGATTGGATCATATTGGACCTCACGATTAGCACAAACTAATTAGTTATCATTTGATTAGGCTCCTATTTACGCTTTCTTAAATATGTTGGATATAATATCCTCATGAGAATCAAAATCTACAAGTCCCAAATAATAACAAATAAGTTACCGACGGATCATTGACTAATTTTTTAAGATTAATGTCCGTCGGTAATCCGACGAAAAATAATTAAAGATTAAAATTTATTATTTTAAATTACTGGCGGATGCATGTGGCCATCGGTAATTTAAAATAATAAATTCTTCAAGAATTTTAAAAAAAAAATATTGTTGTTTTTCGGTGGATTTTAGGCGGCTATTTTCAGGCAGATTTCCAATGGTTATTTGATTTTTTTTTTCGTTTTTCATACTTTAGGTTATATATATATATTCCACATGGTATGTATAGTGAATAATAATTCTCATATCGAGTCCAACACACATACACACACATACATGTATGCAATACATACCTATATACAAACACATAATCCGATGTCATTATTATTGGACTTTAATAACTATTAAAAAAGTCTTATTTGGTTTAATGGGTCTTAGTTAAGCCCAACATGCTCATATGTAATACATGTCTTCTCATGAACACGTATTGAACTGTAATGGTTCTTATTGAGTTTTTAATAGATCTATTGGGTTTTAATAGTTCTTATTGAATTTTACATGGACCTATTGGGCTTTTATTTGGTCGTTTTGGGCTTTAATGAATGTTAGTTGGACTTATTGGGTTTTAATGGTTTTTATTGAGTTTTTACTAGATCTGTTGTGCTTTAATGGATCTATTGAATTTATTTGGTCGTATTAGACTGTTATGTATATATTGAGTTTTATTTTATTGTATTGGACTTTAATTGATCTATTGGGTTTTAGTGGATATATTGGGATTTAATAGATATATTAGGATGTATTTGGTCGTATTGGGCTTTAACTGATTTATTGGGCTTTAAATGGTCATATTAGGTTTTAATGGATGTTAGTTGGACTTTAACGGTTCTACTGGTTTTAATGGATCTATTGGGATTTAATAGATATATTGGGCTTTATTTGATCGTATTGGGCTTCAATTGATCTATTGAGCTTTAATTGGTCGTATTAAGCTTTAATGGATGTTAGTTGGTCTTAACCGTATCTATTGGGCTTTGATGAGTTTGGATACAACCAAGATCCTAATTACGTCTTGACTGAAAACTCTACACAGGGTGGTCCATCGTCTTCAGATAGCCAAATGTATGCCTCTTTTTCTTTGATAATGTTCATTGATTTAGTTTATAATTCATATTAAATATTATAACGTTTTCTTTATTTTATAGGAAATTGACGCCTTAAGAAGCCAAGTTAGAGATTTACAGAAAGAAAACAAGCTTCGACTGGTGGAGGAGGAGTTTCGGCAGGCGGATGAGGAGCGACGACGGACGGAGAAGGAGGAGCGTCGGCTGATGTTGGATGAGAGACGAGATAAACAATATGAAGAGATGGTTGCTTTGGTCAGTCTGATCAGTCAATCTCAACAGTTCCTACCGTCACAGTAATGAATATTTGTTTGCTTTGGCACAATTTAGTTTTTGTTTGAAACAAGTGTGTGCTACTTTGGTCGGAATAATTGTATTGGACATTTCTTGTTTTTTAGTTTAATGTACGATATTTAGCGACATATTATCTTTTTAGGTTTTTTAAATATTTATAGGATTTATAGGTTTTAAATACAAGTTTTAAGTATTTATAGGAAAATTATTTTTCTGGAGCTGGGTGATTTTCCGGCAGATATATTTAACGAATAAAAATAATAATTTTAAAAACTAAATTAAATTTCGAGCAGATTAAATAACCGACGGACACTTCTAGAGGTAATTAAATTCAAAATATTTTAAAAATCTGATTATTAATTTTTTAATATAATTAAGATTTTTTTAAATAAACTAAAAAAAGTTGGCTAATTTCCGGCGGCCATTTTCCATCGGAAAAATAAAAATTCGTCGAAAAAATAATCACCGGTGCCTCATTTTCCGGTCGTCATATCCGTCGGAAACTCTGTTTTCCGACGGATATGACCACCGGAAAAGGTGACCAGGGTAGTGTGGAGCATAACAAACATCTATGTTGTCATTTAAGTGTAATAAGTAAATAATGGCTGATAAAAATAGTACATTTCTCTAATTTTATTGGTTTATATGCTTTATTACTAATTTGTTGATACATCAAGAGAAAAATATTGTATCCATTTATTTTATATGTATAAGGATTTATTCGTTTAAAAGAATGTTTGGAATCTTAGGAGGTGTTTGGGATTGTTTATTTAAAACAACTTATGTTTTTTTTTGTAAAAGTGCTTATTAACTTATGTGATATCAAACCGGAGTTTTGTAAAAAGTGTTTGGATTAGCTTATAGCGGTACCAAACTGCAACAAGCTGATAAGTTGTTTTTTAGTGTTTGACAAATTTTGCTTATATCTGTAAAATGGTAAAAAAAGACAGTCTTTTATATTATTGACTTATAAGGAGTGTTTGAGATTGCTTATTAACTTATTTGATTTTTTTAACATATAAAAATGTATTTTTCATCATTTATAATAATATCTATAACAAAATTTTATATCAATAAGATTAATAATTTGTATCAATAAGAATAATTAACAAACATTTATACCAATACMATTAATAATTTATGATGAAAATAATAGATTTATAACTAAAATATCAATAACAAAAAAATGTCAAACTTTTATAACCAAAATATCAATAACAAAAAATAAATCATCATTTATGATAAATATATTCATCTAGATCTACCTATTAGATCTCCTGCAATCATATCTTTTACAGCACTCATATATAGATCGTGACTCCTACGACAAGAACTTGTGTTTTCATGTGCTTCATTGTTGCTACCACATCCTTGATGAGTACGCCTGTAGACTGATTTCTACCTGCAACTTTTCAGCCTCCTCCCTGTCCATTGCAAGTTGTTTCTGCAGCTCTTGTATTTCTACTGAATAATCTGTCTTCTCACCCTATCCACATGGAAAAGAAGAATCAAATATAAGGAAGAAAACTTAAGCTTCTGAAAATTATGTCTAGTTATTGGGTTGCCTCCAGCTCTTTTGTCTACAAATCATGCCATTGTAAAATCTGGTGATTATGCATTTCTAAACAAAAACTTGCTTTTATTTAGAAGCTAGATGAAATGAACAACCTTATGTTTTCTCAAGCGCATTGCTGCTTGCCACTCATTAGAGGTTAGTCTTTCCTCATAACTAGGAAATAGAGCATCGCAAGATGGAAATGTGTTTGGCTTTTTCTTGCAATGGACTTCTTGTCTAACTGCATTTTTCAGATACTTCTCCAAGATAGTCCTAGAGCTACAAGGTCAAGTACTCCATGTTCCACATAAATGCAGTGAATGGTTTTGCATGCACTTTAAGATCTGATCACTCGTGGTTCTAATATTGGTTATAAACCCATCATATTACATAGCAGTGCATGCCATGAACAAGCTTTATCCATCAATGTGAATGACTCAGAATTTCGCACCTGAAGCTTCACAATCAGTGTGCTCTCCTCACTTGCATGATAGATCGAGAATTGAAGCTCCTAATATAGAAATAATGACTTATTAAGTTAAACTTAAGAAGGCCTTACTTCATCCAAAAATAATACAAATCCACCAGTACCTGCTTAGATTCTTTCAGGTTCAGGTTAAATTCGTTGATATCTCCCTCTTGAAAAGCCCTCAACCAGCAACATTATATAAATACCAATACAATACCCAAAGGAATATCCAGTCAATGACAGAAGAAGACATTATGGACAGCTAGACAACTGAGTAAGGCAAGCCAACCATATAAATCTCTTCTCTATGTGCTCTGCGAATAGGCTTTCCTTTAGAAGGGCACATCTATGTCTACCATATAAATCAATGACCTGCTACTAGTTCTGTTTTGATCGATGATTTCACAGGCAGTGGGAAGCGTATCTGTTGTGGAATCTCTGTTCGTATTGGGTTAGGGTATCGATTTGTTCATCGTATAGGGTAGACGATGATGTATATGTGGAGGAGAAGAGATATCGATTGGAGAAGAAGCGATGATGATGATGGGGACAATAATTGTAGTTATTGAAATCTAACTACCACTTTCGAAGATTCATGTAAATCATAGGGACCAAAATTATAGTTTACTCTTTATATAATTACTTTATTCTAATTTTGGTTATCTTTCATATGTTTTAGTTTTAAGAAGTGTGGGCCAACTAATATTTATCCATGGACCATGTTGGACAAGATTACCCTTACAATCCTTAAAAAAGAAACAGCCATTTAAAATTGTCGGATCATGAATGATTTCATAAAACAGTTGAGCATCCTTTCACAGTTATTACCAAATAGACTTCTTTTCCAAGTCTAAATTGTAATAATGAGGAAATATTTTATTTTTCATTTTTTTTTATTATTAACCTAACTCGTTATGTGAGTCTACTAATCCCAGGACGACTACCTGCTTTGCAGATAGCCCAGAGTCACCGCATTTGAACTTCTGTGGTCACAAGACAATTTTTATTCATCCTTGGATTTGAACCTGAAACTTGCAAATATTTTTGATCTTTGGAGCCTATCTCAAACCAATCAGGCACCACCCTTGTGGTTTATTTTATTTATCATTCTAAATTGTAGTAGAAAATTAACATAATATATTTCCTTTATAAAACCAACCATGCTACAAGTCATACAAACTAATTAACTGAGGTATTTATGAAACGATGAGAGTTCAGTTATTATGATTTAAATATGTAAGAAAGATTATTAAAGTTCAATTATTATGAACAACATTATATCTTAGGTAATAATCAAGATATTTATATATTGAATCCTATATATATATATATATTTATTAGACTAAATGAAGGGTTGAATCATTGAGTCCTCGGTTATGATAGAACATGAACTAACGACTTATGGGGAAGAGTTGACACCTGACCTTTATTTGCTGGTTTTGCTAACCCATAACACTCTCATACCAATGGCTTTTTGTTCATAATACAAACATATTAACAAACTTAATTATCGCCTTCAACACCACATTGGTGAGAGTATGTTATCATATGATGATATGATGGCATCGTCGTCCAGTAAAAATGGCTCGTTCCAGAAACTTTCTGACGGTTCGGAAAACCATGGCATAATCTTGGTTGAATCTGCATCATCATGATTTGAGCCAGTCGACCAACATGGTGAGGGTTCAGTCGTTGAAGAAGATGATGGCGATTTAGATGATAAGACTGCCACTAGAACTGCAACTTCCTGTTGTTGCAGTTGTTCGAGGTTTGATCTAAATCCTGTAGTAGGGTTGGGTTTGGAACTTCCAATTTGTTCATTTTTGAACACTTGATCATGAGTTCGATCCTTGGGAACCCGGTTTTTCAGACGTGTGTGCCAATAATTTTTGATATCATTGTCACTTCTTCCCGGCAATTTGGCAGCCATAATTGCCCACCTGCAGTAGATACAACAACATGGTTCTGTTTAAACAAACTTGCTTTATGGACAAATTAAATAAATTAAATATATCGTTTGGTGGAACTTACTTGTTGCCAAGCTTGTTATGTATGTCAACAATCACATCTTCTTCTTCTTGTGTAAAATTCCCACTTTTCATGTTGGGGCGTAGATAATTCATCCACCGTAGCCTACAACTTTTCCCACATCGAGATAGACCTGAAGAAGAGAAACCAGTTAATATATAATCAAGTCTATAATCTGATTAATTAACCTATTTAAAACTTAATCATCAAGATTTCGGTTGAATACCGGCAAGAGTGGGAAGTTGACGCCAGTTACGGTGGCCGTATTTCTCGACAAAGGCTCGTAACTTGTTGTCTTCTTCTTCACTCCATTTACCTTTCTTGATTCCATATTTGTCGAAACGTGGTGCCCTGACCATATTCTTGTTATGTATTGTTTATGTAGTAGTAGTAGTAGTAGTATGAAGATGAAATAAAGTTGTGGATGAAAAAGGTAGTGTTATATACAGCTACAAACAAAGACGTGTTTTTATGGAAAGTCAATCAATAGAAAAAGACCATAGGAAACCTCTCTTTTTTGGGTTTAATGGCATTTGTTGTGGAGTGAAGTACAGTCTACCATTTCACACTACATTGAGTGTCACGTTTGCTCTTTCCTCCACCTCTACCGTTTCAAGAATTATTAAATTCGTTGGCTTATCCTTCCAAGAACTCCATAACTACATCCAAATATATCTATATCTATACATCTTATTAACCAAATTTAACAAAAGTCTTAAAATATTAAATGACCAAGATACCTTTTATCATTTTTTCACTTTTTCATTTTTTCACCCAATCCTCTCCTCACATACACTCACCCCCTCACATACACTCACCCTCTCACAACTGGTTTTTTTAAAATTATAATTTTAAATTTACACTTTATACCCCTATAATTAGTTAATTAATTTACTTTACGTCCTTTATTTTTAAATGTTTCATTTTAAACATTTATCAAATTAACATACATAATCGTATATCAATTAAAACATGTTTAAAAAATACATTTTTATTTTAACAAGTTACACCATTATAATTGTCTCGTTAATACTTTCGAAATGAGTCCAATATTGAATAGTTTTTTACTTAATTATATTATTATATATTATATATACTGTGAAAAAAATATTTTTAATATTTACGATTTATACTTTTATAGTTATTTATTTATATATATACTATATATTTTGGGGTTAGGCTGTCCAAATTGCACTGTATAATATATTCTGAATTAATATGTTCTTGGGTTTTTTTGAAATATATATATATATATATATATATACATGTATTAATTCAACCTTAATCTGAGTTTCTGGACAAGAAAGATGGTAAGCAATTAAAATTTCATTCTAAAACCCTTTTTTTTTGTCTTTTCATGGCTTATGATCTGTCAAATTTATAGTTTTCTTTATTGGTTTTGAGTGTTTATCTTAAAACTCAAGTTTTTTGGTTCTTTGCTCTTGGTGTAAATCGAACACATTTGTGGAGTCGTTTAAATATGTTGGATTTTAAACTGTCATACAATTTTTTTCATCGATAGTCTGTAATTGGAACCATAACTCTTATTTATTTAAATTGTATTAATATGTAAAGACCAAGTGTAACATATATCATTGTTAAATTTTATCTTATAAAACCAGTGAAACTTCAAAATCGTTAAAATTCATGGTTCCCGTCGCATTGCACGGGTACACAACTAGTATATATAAATTAGAGACTAAAGTTTTTTCGTGAGACTCGAAAGACCAATTTATGTTCATTGATCAATTTTATAAGCTAATTATCTAATGGTTTAAAGTTGTACGGTAACAATTTTACGATTATTGAGAAGTCTCGTGGCGTTTATGAATGTTCAGATTGTCATATTATAGATCTAATTCAAAGGTTAAAATTTGTCTTACGAATCTCGTGAAAAATCATTGGTCTCACATGATCCCAAGTCTATATATATATATATATAAAATTTTGTTCTTTTAAATATACGTACGTATTCATGTATAATTGGTAGCTTCTTGTCTAGGTGAAGGTGACAAACACTTGCCACGTATACCTACTTGTTTTATTTACTATTATTATTATATTATCAATATTAAACTGCTCATTAAATTCGACCCCACCATCAAAAATATTGAAAACATAAAAATATAAGTGTTTTCTCTTTTAACCCATCGCTATAAGACAAAACAAAATGGAGTTCAGTTCACAGTAACCTCTTTATTTAGAGGTCAAATATATTGGTCTCTATTTTTAAATATTATTATAATAACTTTTATAGTGTTATATATATATATATATATATATATATATATATATATATATACACATACTAGAAACGTACTCGTGCAACGCAGCGAGATATATTGTGATTTTAATATTTCATTTTATTCTTTATCTCAGTCGATGTTATAATATGGCTTTATGTGATTTTCAGAAATCGATGATGTTTTTATTTTTGAATAAAATATATGTTTGAATATATCATAAAAATTTGACAAAAATATATCGATATTAGTGTCAAATTAACTATTTGAAATTTCTCATTTTTTGTGTAATTTTTTAATTCAATTTTTTTATTATAATTTAATTTAGGTACAATAACGAAGTAATTTATATTTGATTTAATAATATAATTTTCTTATAAAGATAATAATTATTTATTTTGTTAGAAGTCGATAATTATCCTAATTATATTTAGATTTTTTATATTTTAAAATGAGATTTTCATCCTCTATTTGATTATTTTTATCCGCAGTTATTTATACGAATTCAAACATCGAGCTTTAATAAGTTGTACTTATGCATAATTACTTGTAATCTTGAATTT